TCAATTTGTAATCATACTTGTCATTCACATCTAAAAATGATCACAATAGTTCCAATATTCAGAACAGTCTTTTTAAGTAAAAATTATGATTATAAATGCAATACAATAAAAAATTCTATTGTAACAAGACAGAGAATATATTTAATACAGTGTCATTAATTGTAAAATTAAAACCAATGTGTACGACATTACCAAAACATTTATATAGAGATTGAAATCGTAAGATGATGGCAAGGGTAAAGTCTTGTTATCTCTCCTAAAATAGATATAAATGATCTTTTATGTTTCAACATTTATTGACTGGATTATTATTATTCAAGATTATATTTGTAGTCTTTGAAAATAGTAATAAATAAATTGCTGATAAGAAAATGAACAAGTTTATAAATTGTTCATTTCATCAAAAATTAGAAATCTATTCATTTTTATCATATGCTTATTTTCTGAAAAATTAATACAGAACAATATCTTGCGCACAAAAACAAAACGTATTCGTTGAAAAGAAAATTTTTCGATTGTTATTGTCAAGGTTATAAAAAATGCTTTTTTTTCCCTCACTGTTAACATTAATATGACTCATAATATAATTAATTTTTTTTGTCTATCTATGATTGAATATCTATATAATATTTTTTACATAGGTATTTCATTTTGTTGTAATATTAATAAAATCTTTATCTTATAAAGATCGTTCAATAATTCATGAGATTGATCTAACAAATGAACTTCTCTTTTTTTTTCATATACGTACTAAAAAAACATAAAAATATTAGTTGTACTTAGTTTATAGAAATTTTACAAGCAACAGATGTTTCATAAAACATTGTCTTTTTTTTCTTTTTATGTCTATCAAATGTCATTATGTTTATAAGAAAAAAAAAATTATGTAGAAAAAAGACATTGACACAAAACTAATTGCTCATTTTTGTTTCTTAACTGAATGTCAGATGATAAAATGTCATTTGTAATTAAACAACCATTATATAATCGATTTTCTACTTGATCGACAATATCCAAATATTTTCATCATAGTCCCATCGTTCATCTTTCTTTAACTATCGATCTTATATATAAGCCATCTATTTTCAAGCAAAATTTATACATAGTTTGTAATGAAGCATCACAACATTCAGTAAATTGATTAATGACGATGATATCAATATGCACTGGGTTTTTTTTTCTATATATATCTGTTTGAATAATAAAAATCTATTGTAAACATAATTTTGTTGGATAATTACCCTATTTTATATTGACGTAACAGCTAGATTTTTTTTTTGTTTCATATGATTCTGTAAGAGAAAAAGAGTACGGTCGAAAGAGAAAGAAAAAAACTATGAATAAAAAAAAAAAAAAAAGAAGAAATATGACGTGTGATCATCCAAGCGTGCATTGAATAATTATTATTAATGGTAACTAATAGAAGGTATATACCATTTGTAGAGCCTTGATAGCACAAAAAAAAAACAAAGCAAACGTGAAAAAAAAAATTTTTTTTTGATGGCAACAAGTGTACATTCAAATTCTGTTTCTTATTCATCATCATCAAATCAACATTTACCAACACGAAATGTTGTACTTCATAAACGACCAGATCATAGTGGTTTTGGAATATATATTGGTGAAGATTTTCCAACAGGCATTTATATTGTTACTGTAGAACGTAATTCACCTGCATCAGATGCTAATATTCAACCAGGTGATCATATTTTAGCTATTAATGGACAGTTAGTATCATCTATGACTAAAAATCCAAAAGAAATACTTTGTCAAGCTGCAACTAATTCTGAAACTTTAGAACTTACAATTCAATCAACAGATATATTTCAAACACTTGATATACCATTAATAAATAGTTATAAAAATAATGAAAATAATCATAAACAACAAAAATCATCACAACAAACATTCGATAAAAATACAGATCTTGAAAAGTAATTTTCTTAAATTAAAATAAACAAAAATCTTTGTTTTTTTTAAACCTTAATTTAGTTATATTAAATCAATATTGGGTAATGAAAATATACAATTAGTACCATTACCAGATTCATTACAGAATAATGAATTTATTTTAAGATCTGATACATATCCAATTTCATCAAAGTCAAAGAATTTAAATTCATATCCAACTTATGCTTCTCATTCAAAAGGTCATGGAGAAGAACATCGTCATCATCATCATCATCATCATCGTCGTTCAAAACGAAAACTTGTTGAAACAAAACAAACTCAAACATCTATGGATGATAGTCAAGATGAAAATATATCACAAGAACAACCATCAACTGCACTATTACGACAATATCCAGTACAACCAAGTATGGGCACATCATATCGTATGTTACGTACACAACAATTTAATTCAAATGATAATCCAATAAATGAATCAAATGATCCAAAAACTTTATTAAGTAAATAATATAAAATTTCAAAAAATTTTTTGATTTTTTTTTTGTTTTTTGTTTAGATAATAAAAGTTCAGATTCAATAAGTAAACTATCATCTGTAATTCCACAAATAAAACCAACTGAATCAACAACAATACAAGCTCTAGCTCCAGGAATCTATTAAACTAAATTTTCCAAAAAAAGAAAAACAAAATTTCATATAAAATATTTCTTTTCTTTATTGTTTTTTAGTTATTACATCTACAGATACTACTGTTACACCAGTTTCACAACCCGATAAAATAACTCGTGATACAACAGCAACTATTCGTCCTCCACAAACACAACATATGGCTGATATTGTTGAAGCTGCTGTAGCTGCTTCACGTAATAATCGTGAACGTTCGTATCGAATCGTTTTTTTTTTTTTATCATTCATCAATCTTCGTTATTTCATTTAAAGTAGCTAAAAAACCCGAAGAAATTTCTACTCGTCAACCAGTTGAAATTCCTAAACAAACGGCAACACCTCCACCATATCAACCAACAGATCCAATCAATCAACGAAGTACTATTACTACTGCTCCAGTACAAAATCAAAATCCACCATTACCACCCTACACACCAACAGCTCAAACATATCCATCACCAAAACCAACTAATAATCGAGAAAATACTAATGAAGGTACATATAATGTTCGTAATGCTCAACAAAATCGACCAGAAATAGTATCATCACCACCTAATGAAAATAAAATTCCACCAACAATACGTGGTGAAGGTGTACGTACTGTACATTTACATCGTTCCGACAATTATGAAGGTTTTGGTTTTCATTTACAATATAATAAAACTTATTTTCTTGTTCACAAAATTGAAAATGATAGTCCAGCTGCTGGTAGTGGTCTTCGTATAGATGATGTTGTATTATCAGTAAATCAACAATCAACAGAAAATATGCCACATGGTACATTTGTTAAATTAGTTGGTGAAAGTTCTGATGTGGATTTTATTGTTCAACCTCGTGAAGAATATTTACGTGTAAATATTCGACCAAAATTGAATGCACAACAGACACCAACACCTTCAATACTTAGTAATAATAATAGTGACAATACACGTAAAACAGGTCTTTCAAAAGCCTTGAGCAAATTAACAAATCGTTAAAAAACAAAACAAAACAAAACAAAAATATTTTTATTGATCTTTTTTTTTTGTCTCGTATTTAAATATATATTTATTCTTTTTTTCATATTTTTTTTTTTTGTTTTCTACTTTTAGAACACAAAAATTTAAGATATAATAATACGTTAAATATATAAACTAAACAGAAGATAATGATGATGATGATGATGAGAAAAAATAACAATCGTCCTATGAAATAATAACAATTGAGATTCTTTTCTTTGTGCCCCTTTTTTTTGATGTAATTCGATATTATATTGAATAGATTGATTTGATTTTTTATTATGTCTACAAAAAAATGAATAGATCAATATTTATTTTCAATAATTTTAAGCAATTAGATTTATTATTATTCAAAAATACAAAAAAAAATACCTAACGTTTGATTTTCTTTTATCATATTATGATTGAATTAAAATTAATATAAACAAAAGTCTTATAATAATATGTCGAAGATTAACAATTGATTGTGTTATATATGAGATATTTATAAAGAATTCTTATCAATTATTTCTTTCTTACAATATATTCAACTTATTTCGTAATCAGTTATCAAAAATCACACATATATATATATATATGTTTATGACAACTATTTCTATATATCATCAATAATATCCCATAGGATAACTTTAGTAGTGACATATAAATGTTTCATCATGTAATCAAATGATTAATAACATTTGTTTATGTCAATGTAACTTATCAATGTTACTTGATATAATTCTATATCTTCGTTATTATACTTATATAATCATATAAATACAGATTCTTTATATATATATAAGGACCTGCACATATCCTAATGTTATAACAAGTAATTATTCAATGATAGATCATATTTCAAAATTTGATTATCATATAGATCAAGAATTGAAATTCTCCAAAAAAAAAAAAAAAAAAATGTTTTTGTGTTTACACATCTTTTATGTATAAAACAAGAAAAAAAAAACGACAGATCCAAAAAAAATGAGAAAGATATAGACTGTGTGTATGAAACGAAAAAGAAAAACAAACGAATAAACCATAGCCAATGTTTGTTAAATCGAAACAATATAAAAAATGAACTGAAATGCATACATGCACACATTCACTAGCTAGAAAAGAATGCATTTCTAAAGAAAAAACAAAAAAAAACATAATATATATATTTATTCAATATGTATATTTGTTGCTAAAATTTCTCCTGTTGATGTTGTTTGACAACCTTGTGATATATATCGACCTATTTCATCAAATTGTTCACGTAATGATATTGTATTTGTTCGTTGTATAACTTCTTGTAAATTACGACGAAGTACTTCAGCATCAAGACCACCAGCCATTTTTGGTAATGGACATTGTTCTTCATTAAGTGGTGGTAAACCAATACGACTATGTCGATTTGAATTTATTGAATTAACAAGAGATATTGGAGATAATTGTTCACCATTATTTTCAATTATTTCATCATATACACTTGTATTTAAATCATTTCCAATTTGATATATATTTAAATCTTGATCAATTGGTGCATAACCATTTGATGAATTTGTATATGTTTCATAGGATGGTGGTGATATATAACCACCACCACCATTAGTTGATGTTATTGATGATAAATTATTTATACTTGCTGAATGTACAATTGTTGGACGAATATTTTGACGTGGTAAAGTTTTTAATGATTTCCATTTTGTAGAACCTAGAAATTTTTGAATTTTGTTTTTTTTTTAAGGTCATCTCTCTTTCTCTCTGTTTTAAATTATATTCTTATTGATAATTTTTATTTTTTCGACTATCGAAAACAAGATTATATAAAATTTAATTTTATTAATATTTACCTTCTTTTGGACCAAGTATAGCAGTAAAATTCATTGAATCGCCGGGATTAAGAACACATGTAAGATCATTATATGTTTCAAAATGACATGATTGTATATCAAAAAAAACTTGTTCATTATTATCCATATTTAATATACCATATTTTGGAAATATACGTATAACAACACCCGATGCATTTATTGCATTTGATGTTTGTTGTGATAATTGTGTTGATGATGATGATGTTTGAAGATTATTATTATTATTATTATTCATATTTATCGTATCATTTTTATTTAATAATGCTCGTACAGCATCAGATTTAACACTAACTGTTCCATCTGTATGTAATTGAAAAACAGCATTATGTCGTTTAAAAAATAAAATTAAATCATCACGTGTAAAACCAATTATTTGTGTTAAATAATCTGGTGCACGAATTATTAAATTAGGTATATTTTGAAGTAATGTACGACCATTTTTATGTAATAAACGCATAACATAATGAACAGCTTTAACTTCATTTGATGTTAAACGTTGATTTGTATTTCTTGTTATTGATGATGATGTTAATATTGATGTATTTGTTCCACTTGTTGGTGTAGTTGGCATTGAATTACCACTTAATATTGTACGTGTACCTGATTTAAATGATGTTGAACGTGTTAACATTGAATTATTTCCTGTTGTATTTAATAATGTTGTACGTCGTTTTGGTGGTGGTGATGGTGGTGGAAATGGTATACCAGGTAGATCAGCTTTACCCTATTGAATAAAAATATAAAATAAATTGATAATTTTTTTTTTTTATTATTTACTTTAAGACCACAAAATTCATCACGAACAATAAAAATATTTGGATAACGTAAAAGAAATATTTTAAATTCATTTTGTGGTCCAACATATTTTCGTACATCAGCTGATGCTTGTGATGCATGTCCAGCAACACTAACTATAGGTAACCATTCTTCTTCACGTTTATTTAATTGTTTTTTAAAAAAATTTATTGCTTCTTGTTCAATTTCACGCATGGTTTTAGCATCCCATACTGTTTCATTATTATTATTGTTTGTATTACTAATATTATTTGTTGATGTTGTCATTAAATCATTTTCACTCGCCTCATTACTTGAGGCGGGTGATGCTGTTAATTTAGGTCGATTATGATGAGATTTTGATGATGAATTTAATGTACGTACAGGTGTTGCACTATTTGCTGATACAGTATCATTGTTTACAGTAAATAATGATGGATAGCGAAACAAGAATTGTTGTAATCCTTGCTCATTTCCACCAACAGCACGTAACATTTGTGGTGTAAATGTTCGATCAGCGAAGCTATCATAAAGCTTCACAATAGGCATGGCTTGATTATTACGAATGAGCACATCGAGAATAAATAGAATTGCTTGATGAGCCACCTGATCAAACAAAAATAAATCAACATATATGAGAAAAATCAAGAAAGAGAGAGAGAGAAAAAAGAAAAAAAAAAGAAAAGAACTTGCCGACGGCTCATCGATTGCTATTCCATGCGTCTTCTCGGCAGATGCCACAGTAGCCGATATTGGCGTTGTCGTTGTCGTCGTTAATGGAGGCGATGTAGTTGTATTAGGTGTCGTTGGCAATGAAGACATCTCCTCCTCCTATAATGACAAAGATGACATAGTCTTGTCAAATGTTTTATTGACAGGAAAAATAATATATATATAAACTATGACTATAGACAAATAAACATGCAAACTAAAATTTAAATTGGTCACGGATCAATGATGAAGTCTATCATCTTTGTACATAACGATACTTGTTGATATACATATATTAATTGAAGAACTCTCATATTTCGACCTTCATTTTTTCTTCCTTTTTTTTTTTTTTGTTTCTTTCATTTCATTCACTTCTATCGAACGATAACATAGTGGAGGATTATAATAACGGCAAAGCTCGACTACACACATGGTGGCGTGCATGAGAAAACTGTTTCGAGAAGATTAGTTGTACATATATACACACACACACGTCTTTCTTTCTCTTCCTTTCTCTCTATATCGACTTGCTAGCAGCTACTTCTGAATAACATATTTATACATACATATGTACAAGTATTTCCATCCATCTATATATATATATATATATACAGATATAAAAAAAGAGTGTTTCGTCGTTGACCAGAATGAGAAAATAAATGAATCAATGTCGTTTTCTCTTATTTAATCGGTCATAAACATAAAACGATCTATATTTATAATAGTGTAACTAAACTCGGATTTTTTCTTCTTTTTTTTTTGATTGAAGTAATAATAATAATTATAATTTACCTTTCTCTATATATTTATGTATATATGATGAGTCAAGAGACGTTGGGAGGATACTGTCGACAAGCTTAATAATTATAAATCAAAGTAATATAAGAAGAATATGATGAAGAAAAAAAAATTTGTTTTTTTTTTTTTTTTTTTTTGAAATAAATAAGAAGCAATTATTGACGTAATAAAATTTTTTCTTCTTTTTTTTGACGACAACGAAGAAGACGCAGTCGATTTATTTTTATATGTAAAGTAAGTGATCTGATTGCGAAGCAATATCGTAAGAGCTTCGTGTATGGCAGTGTCGCCGATAATGATGTTGGTCTATGTGTTGCTTCTTTCTTCTTTTCGCCTCAGTTTTTTTTTTGTGTATGTGCTACCACCCTGAAAAGGAGAAAGGGAAACAGAGAGAGAGAGAGAGAGAGAGAGAAAAGAGAAAGAAAAAAATTGACAATATGATTTGTTCTCTCTTTTCTTTATGTATCTATCGTCGTTATTGTTGTTCTCTCCTTCCGGTACGGTCAATCTTATATGTTTAACAAAAAAGAAAAAAGTGTAAATACATACCAAAAAAAAAAAATGTATGTATATATTGGTGAGAAGAAAAAAAAAGACAACAACTAAGGGATAAATGAGAAAATATTTAATTAGAAAGATTGAAATTGAAAATTTCTATTTTTTTTGTTTTAATGTTTTTTTGATTGAGAAATATATTAGGATATTAATAAGATATATTGAGATTTATTATAGTAATCATCGTATGTCTAATAACGATTGACTGATTTTGTCTGTTAACGAGAACTGTTAATTTTAATATATGTATATTTCATTTTTCTATGAATCATTTATCAATTAACCAATCTTAAAGTTGAATGATGATTAAGATATGATATTTGATAATAAAATTTTCATTTAACTTTTATTATTATTAATAATATTTTAGTTATTATTTATCAAAAAAAAACAGAGAAAAAAAATCATGGGTGTCGCTCGAGTACGGTTATTTAAATATTTCTATGCTATAACCTGATAAAATATAACACTTTTGGTACCAAAATATTATCTATATATAAAGGATACAACATTATATGATCTAATATTCTCCTTCGGAGAACTTTCATCATTTATTTATTTATTTTTCTTTATGGACACTTTCTTTTTTCGTCGTCCTTGCGTTTGTTTGTCTTATATGGATATAAATGTCCTTCGATTTTATGCTACTAATAATTCAATAATTATTCTACCATGTATATATATATATATTGTTCTTTTGTATTTTCATTAATTTTTTTATTGATATTTGATATGTACATATCATTAAAATAACGAATGTGAAGAAAAAATGAATATTTTGATTCGATTTCATTATGTCGATCAATTAAAGAAATAAAAATAGTCATATTATATGTTTATTTTTAGTATATAAAGTATATTGCAAAAATTGTCAATCAATAAAATAGTATTTCGAAGAGAAACATTATTGAATTACAAAATTCATCAAAGAAAATATAGATATTTAAAAATTTGACTAAATCAAAATTTTACATACAAAAATAAATTGAATTTTAATTTTATTTCTTGAATATATATATATTAATCTTTTTGAACAGACAAATGACAAAATATAATCATCTTATCTCGGATAAATATATCAAAGTTTTGACTTTATAAAACTATTAATTATAAATAGAATCAAAAAAAAAGAAAACATAAGAATTATCTATTCTTTATTAATAATTCAATAATT